CCTCTAAGTTGATTTTAATTTTACACATAGGCTGCCTTATCCAAATGCTGAGCTTTGTAGCATTTCTTAATATAATAAATCAGTATATTTAGAAATAATGCAATTTCATGTTCTATAAAGTCAAATAACCTACAAGTAAATAAAGTCTGTTTGAAGGGTAACATTTTAACATTATAATTGTTTGTAGCTCTTGTTTACTGAATTTGAATGTTACAAGATCTTTTTATGTACATTACTCTAAGTTCCAATAACTATTTTTTATCTAATAATTTTCATATTTATTGGTAATCTAATATTTAGATTCTAATAACCTGTTTCTTCTGGCACCAACACAGCATTTAACTGATTGTTTACTATCTGGAGAATTACAACTTTGGAACTGCTATGTCTAAAAACGCGCCTCTTTCAGAGAAGAATAAGGAGATTTGGTCTTCAAATCTAATGCAATATCAAAAGTGCAAAAAGTCAAGAAAGTATTCTACCATTGACAGTCTTGATCAGATGCAAAGATTCTTCGAAAATCTTCGACAGATTTAAAACTCTGGCTTCTGATGTAAAATGTAGAAAAGAGCGCATTGTAATGATAGCAGATAAAGTTAAAGGCCTATAGAATAGTTTGAATCTTCCGATTTAACAAGGTAGATCTGCGGTTGCACAAAAAGTTGAGAATGTAATAAAAATTTATGAAAAGCATGCTTGAAGACCTGAAAACAATGATTTCAGTAAATTCTTTAATGTAACAGACGAGAAAGGAGACTGGTTGTGCAGAGAAGACATGTTTCCACAAAAGGGAAAGTAGGATATTGCACCACAAAAGAAGACACACAGGGGATACATCCAAGAAAAGTCACGATGCTTAAAAGAAGAGTGTCAGTCATACAAAATTCTATTAAAGAAAGTAGTTAAGAAGATTCGGAAACAGTTACAGACACAGAAAAGTCTATGAGTGAAGAACAAAGTTATAGTAGCAATGAAGATTATGCGAAACCCTCTTCCAGTAACAGGCAAAGAACTGATTCTGCAGTATGTTTGGTAACTGAAAAAAAACTGAAAACAAGAAAGGCCGACCAAGTATGTAAAACTTTGTCCAAAAGCGGATTTTCCATGCTTATTCCAACTTAGAGTGGCATCTACAAAGCAGTAATAAAAGAAGGAGAAAAGCTAAAAAGAAATTTCAAGGAAAATTTAAAAAATAAACTCTGGTGTTTACACTTTGATGGTAAGAATATACAGAAGGATTATCAGGTAGTTGTTTTGAAAAATAAAACTAGGAAAGTCAGACTTGCTGTTCTTCAATTGACAAATAGAAAAGGTGAGACAATATTCAAAGGAATAAAAAACTGTGCTTGACAAATATGAACAATGGCCCTTTAAAAAAATGATTGCTTCTGATACAACTGCAGCTAATACTGGAAAAAATCTGGGAGCTGTCACAGTGTTGCAGAAACACATTGAAGATATTGGATTAGAAAAACATGTGCTTATTGGTTTTCAACACCATATTCTGAATACGATATTGAAACACGTCATGAATGATCATTTTGGGGGACCGACAAAATCACCAAACATCTGTTATTCCTTTTTTTCACAAATAAAAGGACACTATGAACAATTGAAGAAATCATTTGATAATACAGGAAAAGAAAAGAAGAAAGTAGAGCAGGATTGCTGGCGAGATGACATGTCCTTTCTTGATCACTTAGTATCATGCTACAGGTATTTTAAAATACAGGAAGTCTCCCAAAAGTGCATTCCCGATTACTTCCATTTATCAGTAATGCTAGTAGGAACTCAAGACTCATTTACGTTTTGCTTAGTTTCATCCTGATGCCAGAGTTTAGACAAACAGCAAAAGTGGCATGTGGTTTCATCTGTGATTCATGGTCAAATGTCTGGCTCTTTTCTCAGTTCTTCAATCTTGCCGACTTTGACAATTTGTCAGAAGCTTGTAAAGAGTATCCTAAGGCTTTGCGCTCATCGAGTAAGTTTTGATCAGTGAAGCCTACGCCTAAACAAAGTTAAAATATTTTTTAGTTTCATTTTTTTCTACCTTTATTTACCCGTAAAATCAAAAATTACAAATTTAATTGTAAATTACAAAGTTAAGTTTGGTTTCACACATAGTTAAAAAGAAGTAAATGAAATGAAATTTTAATAAAAGAAAATAAAATATTAAAAAAAGGAAAAAAATATAGAAAGTAAACTATAATAATATTAGCAATAAGAAAAGAATTAATAAGAACAATAATATATAAAAAGTTGGAATCAGAACAAAAATATAAAGAAGTAAGACTAAGAAAATGAAAAAAAAAGAGAAAATGAACGGATGAGATGAGATAACTGAGAAAAAATTGTGAAAGAAAGCGAAAACTTTGATCACATAAGTTCAAAAAGATATAGTAAAAGAAAAAAAATTTCACAGAAAAACGTAAAAAAGCAAAATAAATGCAAACTTAAATAAAAAAAATTTATACATACTCTACTACATACAGTATTAAGCCTATGTTACGCATTACATAGATTAGTTAAACAAAAGTAAATATCAAGATATAGAAAAAGCAACAGCAGTTTAGCAAACAGATAAAAATGCAAAAAAATTAATACATTCAACATTTTTATATATATATATATATATATATATATATATATATATATATATATATATATATATATATATATATATATATATATATATATATATATATATATATATATATATATATATATATATATATATATATATATATATATATAATATATATATATATATATATATATATATATATATATATATATATATATATATATATATATATATATATATATATATATATATATATATATATATATATAATGTACGACATATAAGCAATGTACAAAATTAATTAAACTTGTTCGTTTTTTTTTTCCGTAAAATAATAGTACTAGAAAATATTTATGTCTTTTTTTATTATTTTCCATTTTGGAAGACATTTTTTTTTTACATTTGTTTTTATTTTTTTCTTGTTTTTTATTTTTATTTACTTAATTCGTTTATTCTTGTTTATATACTTATTCTTTAAACTTTTGTTATCAAAATTTTAAAAAATTAAATTTTACTAGTTTTTTAGCTCATAAACCTTTTAAGTCATCATGTTATATACTAATTAAAAGGTTTTCAGGTTAAATATTACGTTTTTAGCAAATTATTATTATTTAATAAAATTTTAAAGTTAGATTTATAATGTTAATTAAATAATCATTAGTTGCTTACATTGTTTACAATGTTAATTAAATAACTATTATTTATTATAAGGTTTACAAAATGAAGATTTTTAATAAGTTCAAAAGTTTAAGTACAAACTAAAACTTTTAACATTTTCACCACAAAATTGCCATTTTTTTTGATTTTATAAACAAATACTTTGCGGAAATAATTTTATGTATAAGTGATTGAGATCATGGGATCTTAGAAATGTATATCTTCTCCAATAAAAAATTTTAAGTGGCATCTACAAAGCAGTAATAAAAGAAGGAGAAAAGCTAAAAAGAAATTTCAAGGAAAATTTAAAAAATAAACTCTGGTGTTTACACTTTGATGGTAAGAATATACAGAAGGATTATCAGGTAGTTGTTTTGAAAAATAAAACTAGGAAAGTCAGACTTGCTGTTCTTCAATTGACAAATAGAAAAGGTGAGACAATATTCAAAGGAATAAAAAACTGTGCTTGACAAATATGATGCCAATAAAAAATCTTGGAATCAGTTGAAAATGGAAATTCGTTTTTTTAAACTGCACATCTTCATGGAGTTGGTAGTCGGCTGTTGTACAAATTATGAAGAGATATAAGTTTACTAGATCTACAAAGAATCAAAATCAATTAGGAAGGTCACGCAAAACAACGTATATTCAGATAAAAAGCTTGTATTATTAAGCAAAATTAATCCTTAATTGAGAGCTGTCAAAATAAGCTTACAAAAGAGACGTTGTTATGGAATAAATTGTAGTATTTCTTCTATAAAACGTCGTTTACGTAACGCTAATTTATTTCTACGACGCCCGCCTATAAAATCATTAGTTTACTTAAAAAACCGTAACGTCCGAAAAGAATTTGCATCAAAACATCTAAAGTTTAATTGTCAAAATTGGTCAAAAGTTCTTTTTAGTGACGAAAGCAAGTTTATACTCTTCAAATCACATAGAATTAGATATGTTTGACGCCTAGTAGGTATAAGATACGATCCTAAATACCAACTGCCTACATTTAAACATGGAGGAGGTAGTATAATGGTTTCGGAATAATTTATTCGAAATGAAGTTGGTTCTCTCTATAGGATTACCGAGACTACGAATCAAGAAAAGTACAAAGATATATGTAAGACTATTATGTTACCTTATGCAAAGTATAAAACGCCTCGAAGATGGATATACCAACAGGATAACGACCCCAAACATACAGCCAAATCGGTTTTAGAGTTTTTCAAAAAGTATAAAGTTAATGTTTTGAAGTAGCCGTCCCAATCAACTGTCTTAAATTCCATTAAACATGTATGCGAACATGTTTACCGTCAAATCAAAGAAATCAAGCTTACAAGTTATACTGATTTATTTAATAAAATCAAAGAATTATGGGACTTAATTCCCAAAGACGTTTGCATTTATTTAGTAGACTCTCTGCCTTATAGATGTCTAGCTATTATTGATTGTAAAAGACTTCCTAAAAAATACCAAAGTAATTTTGCTTTTATATAAATTTGTGATTAAACATTGTTGAAATATTTTTACTATTTAAAGAAGATAATGCTTTAGCTGCAAATTTTTGAACTTATTAAAAACTGTTGTTTTGAAATCTGATATTGTTTAAATTGATGAAAAAAGTAATTAAATATATTATTTACGTAAAAACAATACAATCTAATAAAAGTAGAAAATTCATGTAAACAGTTGGTGCTAATTTTGTCATTGGTAAAAATTTGATCTAAACCTATCATTGTAATTATTTTGTTTTTAATTAACATAGGTACATATGGCGCTTGGAGCGCCTGGAGTAGTTGCTCAGAAACCTGCCAATCTAATACTATTGCGCTCCCATTTCAAACACAAACTAGAGATTGTCTAGGTAGTACGGGATGTTCAGGACCAAGTTCTCAAAATATATCATGCAATGTTGGAGTTTCTTGTCCTGGTAGCATTTTTTATATTTTTTCATAAATATCGGTATGCTGTTTGTAAATAAATTATTGTGTACATATTTTAATTTTTTTCTGACTCCTAATTTTGTCTTGTTTTTTTTTAATGCAATAATTATAACAACAATTACAATAACTATATAACAATAAAATAACAATTATAACAAAAAAACTTGATTTTGTAGTAAGGGTTTTATTATCATTTTCTTATTTTGTTTAACAAGAAAATAATAATAAAGTGCACATTTTTTGAGAGAAGCTCATACTATTAGTTTAATATGATTATTAAATTAATAGTAAAAACTAATAATTAAAAAAGTTGTATACAGTTTTCTTAATTTATTAATTCATACAAATAATTATTAAAATTATTTAGTTCATATAGACATCTATTTAAAAAAATGAAAAAAGGTAGTGCTGTGGCATCTTGGATATATTCATCCTACTATATTGTTAAATTAGATACTAACTTTTTCATTGGTTCTTAAACAATAAAAATGCTAAGTTCTGACCTACAGAACAAGTTGACCTTAATGTATATAAAGATATGTTTAGTTTGTAAGATTTTATATTGTAATATTTGTTTATGATTTATTCAAGGGGTAATGTCTCCATGGAGCGCCTGGGGACAATGTTCAGCAACTTGTCAGCTAACATTAACAGCGCCAACTCAACAACGGTCTCGTATTTGTGAGGGAACAACACTTGGCGGGAATTGTAATGGACAATCTACTGTAGCTTCACAAACATGCAGCACTGGTATTTATTGTCCAGGTATATTTATTCATAAATTTACTTGTTTTCTACTACACCACTATATCTGCTTCTTGGAACAAATTTGAAAGCAATTTCATTAAATTATTATAACATTTTAAATAAAGGAACTATATCAGATTGGAGTATGTGGGGTGCATGCTCTGATGTTTGTAATAATCTTGTTACACCACCCTATCAAACTAGAAGCCGATCATGTATTGGATATTCATCATGGGATCCTAACTATTATGGTTGTCCTGGTATTTCGAAAACTGAGCAATTACCTTGCAACACATTTGTTGGTTGTTTAGGTATTCATTTTTAAAAAATATATATTGTTATGAAGATATTTTATATAAATGTTGTTCATGGTATCAATTAATTTTTAAATAAAATAGGAAATTATGGTGCTTGGAGTTCATGGAGTAGTTGCTCAGAAACTTGCCAGTCCAAAAAAAATTTGCCTCCGTTTCAAACTCAAACTAGACAATGTGTTGGTAGTACCTTAGAAGCTGGTTGTTCTGGACCAAGTTCTCAAACTGTAGCATGTAATGTTGGAGTTTCTTGTCCAGGTGGAAACCCTTTTTTTTATAATTTTTGATTAACTGCTTTTCCTCAAATTGTACATTTTTATATTGTTTATATAACTTCTGGAACTCTCTTTGTAATTTCTTTTTTTTAAGGGTATTTTTAATTAGGATATGTAACTAAGAATAAAAAATCAGTACCAGTATATCAGTACTATATAAGAATAATTCAGGAAAATTAGTATTAAAACCATCATTTATATCATTATCTGATTAATTTATGCATGTTTTTCTCTAGTAAAAATGTTTAAGCATTGCTTATGAAGTTCCATTTGGTTTTGTAATCTACAAAAAAGCAATGTTTTTTACCAAATTTAAGGTTTAAACAACTCTGCATTATTTAATTTTTTGAAGGTGAATATTAAAATACTTCCTCAATTTTTCTTATTTTATGTATTATAGGACCAATATAATCAAGTTTTATGTCTTTATCTTGTCTTTATAATCCATTTCTAATATGTAATTTTTTTTTTTTTTCAAAAGCTTTATTGTTTTATTGCAAGAGGCTTGTTACAATTTAAAAATATAACAATAATAACAATTCTCTTTAGAAAAATTTACAATGACAAACAATATATACAAGGTAATTGAAAGCAGATAACAAAGATCTTGTTAATTGAACCTTAAATGAGTTGTTTTTTAAAATGCAGAAACAAACTTCATACATTGATGAAATAAATAAACTGTGATTAACTTTTTATAATGATGATATAAAATAAACTTTATAAAGTAAATAGCTAAGGTCTCCAATAGATTTCCATATATCTTTATAATTATTCCATGACTTTCAATAATTTAAATAACATGTTAACACATGTTTTTTTCCTATTAATATAGCTAAGAACGGTATTAAATTTAAAGTCTTAACCTATTATCTAGGATATGGTGGTAAATTGCTGCCAGGGCTGCAGTTTACCACTATACAAAACCAATGGCTATGGTTATGCGGTGCGATTTGAATACCAATGAACTGCTACCTATTTATTAAAAACGGCAAGCTTCGAAAGAGTTGCAAGTATCTTAGAAAAAAATGTATAACGTTAAAAGGAAACTGTACTATTTTATATTAAACATGTTATTGTTTATGCGTTAATAAAACCAATACCTCAGTTATTGTAAATGTATTATTATACATCGAAAATAAAAAACTTACAGAACTTATTAACACAAACTCATAAGTTATGAAAATAACTACATTTAGAGCTTCAATAATTCAACCATTAATTTAGTAAACCATCACCTAAATTTATATTAGTTTACTTTATAAAATCCTATTGTTTATCTAGGCAATTTTTATTAGATAATTTTATGAACAGATAGTGTTTATTAACTTGACTCTCTAAAAGAGGCTTACTAAATCAGCCATTTAAATTATTTTCAATTATTTTATTAAAAATTTTGAAAGTTGTATGTTACCCCAGATAGCACACAGACGATGGCCCAACGTCGGATCAACGTCGAAAAATTGATTGGCCGATGGTCGGCAACTGAAGTCGCAACAACGTGGATTTGGATGTCGGCGCGATATTGCAGCCAACTGTTTGGCTGACGTTGGCCCAACGTCGACCTCCGACGTTAGGCGAGCGTTGTATTTTAATGTTGGTCCAACGTAATACTATTATATAAAGATTATTATATAATATGTACATATATATATATAATAGAAATTTAAAACACTGCACAAATCAGTGAAATACTTTTGTACAACTTAAATCATAAGAAATACATCTATAAAAAATATACAAATATAAGAAATAACAAAATATGTCAGATATATGTACATAATACTATATACAATTGATGTAAAAAATAATAAAATCAAACGATGTATTACCTGCATAAACATAGAGACAAATATTCACTTCAATTTTTCATATCATATCTAAACAAAAAATTAATAAACAATTATATAAGTATTTTACTGCAAACATAAGAGTTAACATGTATAGAAATTTTTTAATACAATTATTAGTAGAAACTGATGTAAAATAATGTTAATTTAGATCATTGTCTTAATGATTATTATTACCTCCCACAGGAAAATTTTCTCTTGCATTTTTATTATCACTCTTATATATATTGTCATCATTACAAACACTTCAACAATCAATAGAAACATTACTGGTAGACAAAGTATTTTTTTGGTCACAACTTTCAAGATAAATTTTTATCATACCTCTATCAACTTGCTTTTACCTACCTCTATCAACTTGCAAACTTTTAACTCTTCATTTATTTGTTCTTTATAAAACAGTCATCTAAATTATTATTGGAATAAAACTTAGTATCAGTTGCAACATAATTTATATTTTAAGTAGCCTAATATTATTATTTTATACTAATACATAAAAAAAAACTGTTATCATTCTGTCATTAGACGGTAAGTTATATAAAAGACTTTAAGGATAATTTAAATTCATATCAACAGATGCTTAAATTAGTTCAGATACTGAAAATGATTTTATAAAGTTTAATAAAATAATATTATAAAGTTTAATAATTTTGACCTAAAAAATATATCTTTTGAAATAAAGTAAAAGTAGAGCATAAAATGTAGTCTTAATGCAAGATATGGTAGTTTTATAAAAGCCTAATAGCACCATTTTATAGATTCTCATGCAATTAACGCTGCTCCATGAGAAGACATAACAAATGCACAATTTTAACCCAGACCCTCAATTAAAATGTAGTACTCTTAAGTTGTTTATAAATTACATTTTCTAAAATAATAAAGATAAATTTCTTTACAAGTTACGTATCGCGTAATATATATATATATATTTTTTTGTATTCTGTACCCAAAAAATTATTTTACTTATTGTTCCATTTTACATGTCATTGTTAAACTTTGATTTAAAAATATAAGAAAAAGAATTTATTGGGAAAATTCTTATCCAAAATCTATAACTAATGGTAGTGAGAAAATAACTACTAGTTTCAAATAAGCATAAAAATGGAAATAAAGTATTCTAAATCTGTGCTCTTTAAACAACTATTAATTTGAATTCTTTTTTACAACCACCTTGTCGCGTGATTCAATTTTTTTTCTTCCCTTTATTACCACTTGTTCTCGTGATTCAACCATTATGAGTTCTAAAGACCACTTCTTTTAATGTGTAATTATATCTGTTTATGCTTTAAAATAATACCTTTACAACTTCTTTGCATGACAATCATAATTAACAGCCCACTAAAAACGCAACTTTTTACAAATTTAACAAAATAATTTTGTATGAAAATGTTTAAAAACGCTGATTTAAAAATTTAACTATAACCTACAAACAGATAACTAAATAGTTATTAACTACTAAGATAACTAAAAAGTTATTAACTAAGAAAATAATATATTTTATATTCATACTTTATATTTATACATTTACCTACTTTTGTATCATGTTTTCATGGCTTAATGTTATATCCAAAAATACTCGTGATTATTTTAAATTTATAGCAAAAATTTTGTATAAATATACTCATATATATATATATATATATATATATATATATATATATATATATATATATATATATATATATATATATATATATATATATATATATATATATATATATATATATATATATATATATATATATATATATATATATATATATATATATATATATATATATATATATATATATATAAATATATATATATATATATATATATATATATATATATATATATATATATATATATATATATATATATATATATATATATATATATATATATATATATACATATATAACAAAAATTAAAAATAGTACACAAACCAGTAATTTAATTTGTATTGCTAATAAAAAAAATCTCATGTAATAATTAATAAAATTGTTTTAAAATATTCGTTCAACTATATTTAAAAGTTAATATAAACGTATAAAAGTTATATAAACATGAATATATAAAAATGAACAACAAGATTACAGAAAAAAAGATTAACAAATATTGTGCGTATAATATAATATATTTGTTTACTTAGTAATATGATGCATAAAATTCAAAATAAATTTTAATAAAAATACATAAGTTATCAATATCTATATGATCTCATTATGATGAAAGAGGTCTCAAATTATGAAGGCTTTATATTTTAACCATGACTTTATAAATTTTTTAATAGTTGCAACATTTGCTTTGAGGCACTTATTCATTTGCACATCAGCTGTTTAAAACAATTTAATATGTACACAAACGTTTATCAAAGAATATACGAGTCATGGTTTATATACTAATTTTAATTCAAATATGAATTCATAGCAGCAAAATTCTCTAGCAAAAAAATTGCGATAAAAAAAAATACAAAAGCATTTAAAAATGGCCGAAAACTATTTTAGCACTAAAAACTGTAACACACTACAATCATTTTAAAACCAGTTTTGTTCCAACGTCGGCCCGACATTGGATCGACGTTAGCGCGTAAATTAAAAAAACTGTCTAACGTATCCGACGTTGTTCCGACGTTGGCCAACGTAATGCTTGCTAGCAGGAATTTTATGAGTGTATGATAGATATAACTTTATGATAATATATCCTATACATATATTCAATTTGTACTAATAAATATACAAGAAAAGAAATAAAATATTGATAAAAATATTTTTGAGATGGTTCGCGATGATTGGAGCCTGGTAACAAAAAAACCCTAAAACTTTGGCTACAATAATTCCAAGAGAGCAACAAGTTTGTAAAATAAAGAGGTTTAACGTTTTGATTTTCATTTGATAATCTTAATCTTGAGCAAACTGTTTTATGTTGTTCAGCTGATTTAACATTGGCAAAATATAGACTACAATTGGTTCAAATTAATTTTGGTAACGAACTTTGAATGCTTAAAGGTAAGTAGTCGTATAGCATATTTTCGAAAAATTTTTTAAGAACTTTCTTAGGCGAAATTGTTTTACTAAGTCGTAAGCTTAAAAACAAGTTTGCAAAGTTATTTTTAATATTATTAGCTGCAAAAATTATTATGAGCTGCAAAAATAAATACAACTGTTTTGATCATAAATTTATACAATTTAAAGTAAGTATTAACTTTTTCTGACATGTTTAGCATCCGACTCTGCTCCCATCAGCTTTGACTGTACACATTTTTTACTGTTTGGTTCTTTGTACTCGGATATAGTTTCAAACTCATCAATGACTGTGCTAGACCGAATTTATGAACTTTACCAGTTTTGGCAAAACTTTGGAAGAACTTTACCAGTTTTGGCAAAACTTGCCTTCTCCATAACTTTTCCTGTTGTTTCTCCTCTTGAGTTAAGATGGTTATCAAAATGATTAAATACAAGTAAAATTCCTGCAAGGTCATGCGGAGATCATGAAATCATTAGTGGAGCAATTTTTCTCTTTATCCTTTTAAAGGAACTTTTACCAGAAACATTCGTTGTCACAAACATGCCATCAAGGTTATGCTTTTTAAATTAAGTCTAGGCACAATGAATTTTTTTTTCATATCTTTAATTTATATCTGGCCAACCATTAAATGTTATAATCATGACAGGTTTGCCAACTCCATCTTATGTAAACAAGCTGCTTTCAAATTTTCGAAGTTAGTTGATTCTGCTTATGTCTTCTGGGTGACTAAGTGTCTTTGATGAATCATATTGTTCACTTCTGATTGCTATGTATTTTGGGCCAGAGTATGTGACTGCTTACTTTACCTTGCAATTTTTTTTAATTTTTATTGCTACAATTACTAAAGGAACAAGTTTTTGATAATAAGCATCAACAAAATCATGATCAGCTAAAGTCACCAAGTGCTCTATATGCATCATGATTGGTGTTTGCCGCTGTTAATCCGTTTGGCATCTAGCTTTATCATCCTGTAAAAAAACACTTCTTTAAAGACACTAATAGATAATTTAGCAATTTTTGTGCCTACATGATACTTATGCTCAGAATTTCGCGCTCCTTAACCTTTTACCTAACAGGCGTAGTTTACCATTACACAACAGGTTTTGTAGTCATCAAGGCATCAATTAACAGTTGTTGTTTAAACATGTCTTTTTCCTTCTTTCCTCAATGATTTGTTAAACAATAACCTTAAAAAACTTTTGAACTGAAGAGATTGTAACCATGTTTTTTTAATTATTTAACCAAGTTATCTAATGTTTTTACAGTTTAAACTATTTTAGTTCTTCTCCTATCATCAAAAGCACATATTTTTATTGCAATCTCTACAATTGTTCTAATTAAACTGTCCTGATCACAGGCTAGCAGTCGACCTCTCGATATTGCATTTTAAATACCATTATTTTTTATTAATTTTTTTCGAATATCCGGACCTAAAGCTGCTATTACTTTTTTATTTTGAGTGTAGTTGCTGTTTGATGTTCAGACGTTTTTTAAAGAAGTAGAGGAACTGGAACTTTTCGATCAAAATTTTCTGCTTTTGTTCAATATATAGTAGTCCCTTGTGACAACGAGTTAAAACTTCTTCTGTCAATAAGAAATGCGATATCTTTTTTTATAAAGAAAGTTTCATTCTGTTTTATGAAAATTTCATTCAACTGATCTTGTTTTAGCGTTTGTCTTAAAAGTAATAAATATAATAATATTAAAAATAATAGTATTATATTTAAATAATAGTAAAACTAAAAAAAAATTACTTTAAGATCCGATTCCGCGAGAGTGGCGCTCGTAATATTTGACACTCTTAAGCTATAAAAAAATGAGCCAAAAATGAAAATATTACAAAACTTTCCTAAAATCTAAAATACTTTCATATAATTTAGTCGGTAAAAGTATTAAAGTCTTTAACTTTTTACAAAAATTAACTCTACGTAGCGTGGCGGTCGTTTCGCTTTGTTTTTACCACTTCTGAACAAAACAACTTTGTCAGACTTAATACAGCAAACGGCATAATATATAATATATATTTCACCATAAAGAAAATATTTTTAATAAAAATTATCTGAAGTTTCAATTTTCTTATAGTAATTTTCTATTTGGATTCAGTTTGCATTAGTTTTTAATATTTTTTATATTTCCTATTCACAAAGCGTTCCACGTGCGCATGGTTAAAATAGTAAACATTCCTGAAATGGAATGGAATAAACGCTGACTTCTATAATGGAAATTCCATTATAGAAATCAGCGGTTATTCTATAATGGAAGCGGTATTTCTATAATGGAAATTCCATTATAGAAATCAGCGGTTATTCCATTCCATTCCAGGAATGTTTACTATTTTAACCAAGCGCACGCGGATACGCTTTGTGAATAGGAAATATAAAAAATATAAGAATTTCCATTATAGAAAT